ATAAATACATGTAATGTAATGTAATGTAATGTAATGTAAATGTAATGTAGAAGAAATTGTAGGGGTGTTATATTAACACGATGGATTTTGCTAATAAGGTAATGATAATTGTACTCGTGCAAGTAATAGGAGCTAGCAATAGGTATATTAGGTATAACTAAATAATTAATGTTATTTTTTTGTTTATGTACTGCTTAATATATTATAATCTATTACGACATGAAAAATATTTAATTATGACATGAAAAGTATTAAATGTCTATATAAATCATTCTGATTGTCAAAAGATATTTAAATTTTATTCTATTTTAATTTTATTTAAGTTAACTGCATGTAAACGTAATTCTTCATTTTGTGTAATTAATTTTCCAATACAATGTAATATTGTTCTATGGAATAAATGACTATGACTATGCCTATGACTATTTAAATAAAAAAAAAACATTGTTTGACTAGCTTTGACCATAATAAAGTTAGTCAAAACAAGTTGTATTATTAGAAATTAATCATATAGATGCAGCAATACCAGCAGTATCTTACAAACGCTCTGAATATAATGCTCAACTGGAAGTGGAAGTACACTTGTTCTCGCTGGATAGAACTGCAAGCATGTAGGCACTAATTTGGTGAGTCTAAAAATTTGGCTCTCTACTGGAGAAAAATGGGGACTTCAGCGGCATATAGCTCGAGCGAAGCGAGGGCAAGTGACGCAGAAGCCCCAATTCTCACCTACTTATGTGTGAGGTCCGTGTTCAGGTGTGATTTTTAAATTCCTTAAAATTACAGAACTAACACGAAAACTAACTTGCAGTCTGACTAATGTACTCTATGTTCAACTGCAAAACGCCTTTGAGAACTAAGATAAAATGCCTCACAATCTATTCATAAACTGGCTCTCTATAGATACTCTTACGGAACACGGCAGTGCAGTGGCTTCGCCACCGACAGAAGTAGGTAAGAGTATGGTGCCTATCCAGACAGACTTCTGGGCACAAAAGAGGTCTTACCTCTTAGTTTTATTCTGGATAAAAAAAAGTTACAGATTTTATTTTTAAGTTATTGTCAACTTGTCAAGATTGGATTACTATTTTTATACAGCAACTACTAATACACACACACTAGTAGTAAAAGAAAAACACTAGTGAATAAGCCTGATGATTTTGTTAACTTTTGCAAAACCTATTTTCAAAAAATGCTAATAAAAATAGCTTTTTAATCTTTGGTACCTAATAATAGTATTATATGTAGTGTCATACTAATAGTGTTATAGGTAGGTATCAAATATCAAAAGGTGTCGAGAAAGACTTACGAAATTACTTATCTTTTTTTACTATCTTTAACATAACGCATGATAGAACTCTGTGTTCCTAATATAAAATAAGTACCTACCTAAGTATCCCGCTACATTTTACTAATTTTTGTTGGTAAATCCTTCACCATTCAGGCTGCACTGCTCTGGAACTCGACGTTAGAAAAACATCTAATAATGCCTTGAAAAGATTGGTACATAAACACTTTATGAAGATATTAGATGATGGTTAATATGGTCAATTTTATCTTTGTTGTTATTTTATTTATAGGTTTACGTTATATATCTGCTTGCATTTAAAATATGTATATATTTAACGAAATTACGACACATCTTCTCGTCAGCTATACCTCAAAACCTGAAAACGAGACTGTACAACCAGTGCGTGTTGCCAGTGATGACTTATGGAACTGAGACGTGGTTGTTCACTGCTGGTCGTATGAGGACGCTCAAGGTCGCTCAGCGAGCTATGGAGAGGGCTATGCTCGGGTTTCTGCGTGATAAACTTAGAAATGAGGATATCCGCAGGGGAAATAGAGTGACCGACATAGCCTAACGGCCGTATAGCTCGAAGAACCGACAACCGATGGGGAAAAAAGATTCTCGAGTGGCAGCCTCGTAACGGTAGGCGAAGTCTCCATCGTGGTCACTCCATCAATGGAGTGACGACGAAGCATTCCTTATCATTCCTGCATGTCTTACCAGGTCGTCACTCTATAGATGAAGTAACTCACTTCACCTATAGAGTGACGACCTGGTAAAACATGCAGGAAGTCGATGGATGCAGGTGGCTCAGGACCGTGCTTTGTGACAGTCCTTGGGGGAGGCCTATATTCAGCAGTGGACTTGTGAAGGGCTGTAATGATGATGATGGTGATGACGACAGGAAAATGCGATTAAATTACTACTTACTGAGCAATTAATTCCCTAAAGCAAAGCTTTGAAGCATCACTATGGAAATTCAATACTGAAATGTTTATCGTTTATGGGGAACTTTTTAAAATAATTTTCTGTAACTATACTATGCGAGCTATGGAGAAGGCTATACATACACATATATACAGTGTTTTCCTCTTGGATAATGGATATTCTTAACCCCGACATTACACAGTGACTTATAACTACATTAAATTATATATATACGAGTATAGCCTTCTCCATAGCTCGCTGAGCGACCTTGAGCGTCCTCATACGACCAGCAGTGAACAACCACGTCTCAGTTCCATAAGTCATCACTGGCAACACGCACTGGTTGTACGGTCTCGTTTTCAGGTTTTGAGGTATAGCTGACGAGAAGATGTGTCGTAATTTCGTTAAATATATACATATTTTCCTATTGGATAATGGATATTCTCAACCCCGACATTACACAGTGACTTATAACTACATTACTTATAATTACATAGGAAAACACCAGGAGAAAGGCAGCAGGGTTTTTCTAATTAAAACTAAAAGTAAAGCACTGCCAAAACACGCGAGCCGATTGTAGTAACTATGGTATATTTAACTATAGGGAATACTTGCCAAAGTTGCCATGAGGCATTCAATCTTTGGGGGAGGTCTACGTCCAGCAGTGGACTTTTGATAGGCAATAACGGTCACGGTACCTAATCACATTTAGGTCATAGCGATTGTAATAATGCGAGTAGAGATAATATTTCTTTTTATGCTATTGTTAGGGTTCGAGGTGTTTTTTATGATCTTCCAATTTTTTTTAATTCCCGACGTCAAGCAATTACCCCATTTTTAATAGTACCTATGTAGTCCATTACACTCAGCTGAAAATAAAAGATGAAAAACATTAAATAGTAAAAATCAAAGCTATATCTTATCGTCATTACATTAAAATAATTTAAGGGGAAACACTATAGTCAATTATTTATATTATTATTACATCATATGTTTGTTATGATTTGTATCCTAAATATAGACTACTATTGCGGAAGAAAGGTTTTCGTACAGTTCGTGTGAAAAGAAACCTTAAAAAAGTTTTGGTGGAGTCAAGAAACTGATAAACTAAAAGTTACGGACAAAACTCTTTCGATTTCATTTTACACAAAAAAAGGTCGAGAGTAAAATCTATTTTAGAATAAAAAAGAGTAAAGCCACACGAGGACATGATTTCGTGAATAGAATAAGTCCCGCACACCTGGTGTGGCATGCTTTGCAACGTAACATTGTTGCTCTACTTCAGTGATGGTAATTTAAGTATAAACCACGGTAAGTTTACGATCATTGGACCAGTGCTATATCTGGCAGTGTACCGTGACGGCGTAAGAATATCCCCCACCCCATCTCAGTCCACATCATACTATCTCTTGGGTATCGTAAGAGGTAAGAGAGGGAAATAAAACAGGAGATGCGGAATGAACGAAGAAGGTGCTCTTACTGATAACAATTCAAAATAATAAAAAATTGCGATTGCCAACACGCCCCCAAGCGTGGTAACTATGGCAAATATATCCCTCATCGTCATTCATCATTACAGCTATTCACAAGTCCTCTGCTGAACATAGGCCTCCCCCAAGACACAAAGCACAGTCCTGAGCCACCTGCATCCATCGACTTCCTGCATGTCTTACCAGGTCGCCACTCCATCTAGTGGAGGGTCGCCCTACACTACGCCTACCGGTACGAGGCTGCCACTCGAGAACCTTTCTCCAAATATACCCCTTAGTGTATCAAAAATCAACTATCTATAATATTTTTGATAGAATGCTGAATGATAATGTACATAAGTATAGCAGAAATGCCCACACATTTCTTAAAGTAAAAATAAACATATCCGCACATGTTTATTATAAGGGAACAAAACGTCACATCGTCACCTTAATATGTATTGGTACCTATTTTTATCTTTAAAACCGTTATAATGTAAACGCGCGTCTCGCGAACAGAACGCGTTCAAAACAACAACCTCTCGCGTGTGCCAAACGCAGCTTATTATGATAGTTATCCGATATCCGATTTTAATATTTTTAGAGATAACAAAGTGACAAACACGTTTGGATAGGCTTATATAACACTGTCAAGCAAACTAAGCTATGTAAACCCATGTAAACACAGCAGGTACGTACTACAGAATTACGTATATATTTGCTAAATCTCTTGACAATAAGACGATAGCAAAGCCTGAATGGACAATGTTATGATGTTTTTAATTTTTTGCGCTCATTTCATTACAATAATTATACGTAGTTTACTATAAAATATTAAATTTTACTGTGTAAAGTAGGACCCTCTAAACTTAAGCAACAAAAGATATTAAATTGCTATTATGTGAAGGACTATATTTTTATTGAGTACAAACGATAACATTATTCCATTATTTCTTATCATTATTTACATAACGTACTTTATCCGCCTTTAACTTTATAAATTTAATATAATTTTTATAGTAAATTATACGATGTAACTTCATTTGTGTATTAGCAATATTTGAAATAATATTCTCTCTATCTATAATCTTAGTCTTTTATTTTATATCTATAATCTTAGTCTTTTATTTTTATTCCTATTGCCTTATATATTTTGTTTTTAAATTTTTAAGATCCGTTATAATGAAATCGTTGAACGTAAATCAAAATACAATCGATAGGTAACAATTACGTATTTAAAATAATGTTTTATAATTTAATGCGTCACTGTTAAATATCACGTTCCTCTCTCAATTCAGTTTTAGGTTCCCAAGATGTCGGAATTGCCAGGGTACACAGTGGCACCAATTCAAGAAGACGATGTTGACGAGGTTATGACATTACTTAAAAGGTGAACCACTATAAGCAAAGCATTACTTCGTATTCGCTAAGTATCTTTCGAAGCATACCTGATGTGAGCCTCAGTACTCCATTAATAGAGTAGTGATGTGCGTGCAATAATAATTCATATAATCCATGACATAAGCATCAAATAGGAATGTCGTATGATTATAAGCAGGTATTAAATAATTACAAAGACTATATAAACTTAGATGTACATGTAGGTGTTACATATATTTATCAGTGGTATCTAAGGTGCTGGACACTCGACCTACCCGAGTTCGATCCCCGCCGGCAACACTAAAAATGTTAATCGTTTTTTAAATGCTAATTTATCACTTGTTCTGCGATAAAGGAAGATATCGTGCGGTAAAAGAAGAAACCTGCATCTGAAAATTTTAAATATTTCATGGGGATATAAAGTCCGCGAACACAAACCGGGATACTGCGACGGAATCTTCCCTGGTCTAAAACCCTTTAAGTAACAACTGAACCCTACAGGAAAACTGTGCTCTAATAGCACAATATAAGCTTATTTTAAACAAAAATGGGTTTAAACGTAATAATCGCTAAGCAAGAAGATAGCCTAAATTGTATAATTGTTTATACATATGCCCACAAAGACTGGCAAAGATCTGGTGTAGTAATTTGTATCATCCGGTATTCAGTGTGTGGGTAACATCCAAAAATATCTTCTACCAAGGTAGTAATGCAAGTTACTCAACACAACAGAAACCCCTAATAAAGTCCAATGTTTTTCGGTCTATAAGTTTAAAATTTTATTCTACAAAAAATTATAAAAAGGGTGATCATAATATTAGGAAGATGTATGATGAAAGTAACTCCTGGAAATGAGGAACTTTTATAATTGTAACAATTGATTATTAATAGATTTCTCTTTAATCGAAATTGACCGGATTGACCAGTCATAATAATCAGAGTTTATATATTTTTTTATAGAAATAGGTTGACAAACGAGCATACAGTCCACCTGATGGTAAGTGGATGCTGTGGCCCATGGACATCTACATTTATCCCTGACTAAGAAACAAAACGCAGATGCGTTGTCACCCCTGAGGACTAAGATGGAATGCCTCGTTTCCAGTAAAAAAGGGTTTCCGAATCTCTACACTCACCATACGAAACACAGCAGTATTAAGCTGCTATTTTACGCTGGTATTCTGTGAAAGCGTGGTCCTTCCCCGGTCGAGTCGACCCATTCGTGCTACAACCATATAATATAGCTGCAGCGTGGCTCTACCACATAGGTTATGAAATCTATAATTATTCAAACAAATATCTGTTATAAAATTTTATATTTAAAAGAACCATTGAGATTCTAAAAGTATATTCCGAACACGTGGCAAATTGTGTACTCAGGAATGACAACGCTTCTACATTTCGATTCTTAATCGAGGATAACTGTAGATCTAAAAGCCACGGCCATCCTTGTTCTCCAAAATAACGGAGTCCATTATAAACTGCCAGCTCATGAGGGACCTTGAGGATCATTAGCTAAAGAAAAAATTAAAGAACAAACCACAGAGGCATTGTTTGGTGTATTAATGTAATACCGTAGAAACTGGTAAACTTTTATTTAAAACTAAGGGTATGTTACTAAATACAACGCAGTGTACTGTCTAATAAATATACTTCTTCACAGAAAAACTTCCAGAAAAGTTATTTTGTCATTTGTCTCCAAAAATCCCCTATAAACAAATTACTCTAATAATAAATAGAAACAAATTCTGGCATGCTTCATTAAACAAAAAAATTATTATGCATCCGACAAAAGTAAATGATACTTTGCTTGAAGTACACTCTTTATTCGAACATACCCTAAATTATCAATGAAATGACAACAACAAAAAAAATTGCGTGACAAAAATCTTCACCTCAGTGTAAACTAGCGACATCTGGTGACCGAAAGATTATTAGCCCTCATTCGACCCGAATAGACACACGAAAGCGAGTTAATAAAAACTTGGAGAAATGGCGATTTTGGTCCCTAAAAAGGATTTGGGAACCTATTTTTCATAATTTAGAAGAGGGGGCGCACGAGAATACGGCTCTCCGGGTGTGGTGAGCGACTACTGGCGCCCATAAACATTAAAATTGTTACTGTTGTAATAAAAACCTACTGGAAAATGAATATGTACGTCGATTGACTTATATATTACTTGATTTTAAATCAGTGTTTACGAGAACTTCATTATTAGGCGAACTATAGATGACCGAACAGTTGTGACACCCACGTCATTGCACCGTCGAGAAAAGCGGGACTGTTCTTAGTACCTACTTACCTGTCTGAAAGTGCAGTACGAAGGCCGCTCCTATGTGTCATTGACCATAGCGACGACAAATACATAATCTAGTCATACGCAATGTAAAAAGTATAGATGACTAGCTAATAAACATCCCATTTCTAAACGTCTTAAGTATTTACAGAACGTTTTTCCTTGACGAACCGCTAAACCACGCCGTCGGTCTTTGCACATCCGAGACGGACCCGTGCCCTGAATTGGAAGACTACTGCTCGCATTCTCTTTTGGAAGGACTGTCTTTCAAAGCAATTGACAGCGAAGGCAAAATAGTTGGAGTTATTGTAAACGGAGTATGTCCATTGAAGGAGGTGAAGATTCATGTTTCATTCTTTTTTTACTCATTATAAGCCAACGCTCGACATCACCACTGGGGGGCACAGCTCCACCCGGTGTTAAGTGGTGATGTAGCCCTCCATAGTAAACCGCATCATCTTCGTGTAGAACTATTTCTTACCATATTTATTATTATTTTTTTTTACTGGCTTATCATCATTTACAGCACTGTTTTGTTACTTTGCATAATGCATGCGCCTGCGAACGCCGCGTGTGTTCGCCTAGTTTTTTAGGGCTTGATGCAATTTATCATCATCGAAAATTTATCTGGCTAGACTATTTCTTTGTTTCATTCAGAGTAGTTGAAAAATTATTTATGTTTTCTCACATTCATTCTTGATATAGTATTGATAGAATGTTATGCCTTTAACTTTAAACAAGCAAAGGCTTTTCATTTGACAATTTATTTCCTACCCCTTTAAAAAGCCAACGAAAATAAATCTGATGATCAAGCACCCTGCGGACAGTATGCTCGTTTGTCGGTTTAAATAAAATGTTTAACTGCTTAGACTTTTCAACAGATTGACATTCACATAACACAAGGAGGACATTTTATTTTGTTTTATAGATTTTTTATAGAATAACAACTCAAAATAATAACAAACTGCCGTTACCAACCTGTCGGCCAAGCATGGCAATTATGGCTAAATCCTAAATGAGGCTATCTATGGGAGAGGTCTATGTTCAGCAATGGTCTTTTATAGGCTGTAATGATAATGAATATTATTCATTATTAATGCAATAAGGTAGTATACATCTCAGGGCGAACTTTATTAGGGTGGATAAACGGAATATCCCGCCGAGTTGAGTTCGCCGGTTGAACCCTTGGTTGATGTTGGACTTAATCAATTATAAAAATAATGGGACGTACATAGATTTTCATAAACTAACATTACAGGAGGATGGGAACGACTTGTTGACACAGGCGCGAAATTGTCAAAACCCAAAATTTCAAAGAATACTGTACATTCTATCACGGCGAGAAGAGGGTGCCCGATTATGGGAAAAGTTCCCGGAAGATGACAAGCTTGTGGAAATAAAAGTTGCCGCTACTATTCCGCAATGGAGGCGGCGAGGAATCATGAACATCTTAGTGAAGAAAACTGAGTAAGAATAGAAAAGAAAATATAGTAGTATGTAGAAAACATAAGGCCTTCCTCATAGGGGCAATATTTGCAATAGTTGTTACGCTTAGCAGGCGGGCTTGGCAATCACAGTCTTATTTTTTTCACGTTATTAGGAAGACCCAGCTGGTTTTCTTCCCTCTGTCGCCTTTTACGACACCCTCGGGACGATATAGTGTGGTGGATATTCTTGCACCACCGTGTGATGACACGGTTTTTTAATACTTAATACGAAGTTATTATATTTCTCTTCTTTCCTTTCTTTATTAGTTATTTGGAGAGCCATGGTAGCTCAGATGGGTAACGCTTGCTGTAAATATAACAGAACGCGAGTAACTCGGGTTCGATCCCCGCCAGCACCGATGAAATTGTTAATTGCAATTTTAAGTGCTGATTTAGCACGTGCTCGGCGGTGAAGGAAAACATCGTGAGGAAACCTGCATTTCCGAAAAATAAGAAAAAAATACTTCGAAGACATGTGAAATTCGCCAACACGCATTGGGGCAGCGCGGCGGACACTTCCTTGCCCTAAAACCCTATCAGAAATGAGAGAAGGCCTGTGCCCTGCAGTGGGACGTATATAGGCTGCAACTTATATATATTTCGATAGTACTCCCATACTCCGTTATCGTTATAGTTGTTGCCCGGAAGACATATTAGTCATCATTACATACACAACAGGAAAAGGGTGTCTGTATTGTGCAGTGAAGTTTTTTTATTGTTTTCTAGTTAACTTACCCTTAACCCAAAGCTACTGGAAAGAACATAGGATACCTGAAGAGTATTAAAGATATCGTTAACCACGTAAGAATTCCACTTGCGACATTGTTCCATTCACTTGTCCTGAACTACTTGTGTACGACATATAGCTTATCTATATATCATGAGATCATAGGAAGGCATAATGCTGCAATGTTTCGTATGGTGAGTGTAGAGAACCAGAGATTTTTTACTGTCAAAGAGGCGTTTTATCTTAGTACTACCACGTTTAACGTCACTTGAAATGCAAACGACGCTCCGTTATTGTTCCTGTATTGGTATGAGCCCGTAACAAAATGTAAATTTTGCTTCAAATTGATCACATATTTTAAAAGCGTTACAAATCACTTGATGTTAACGTTACATTGTTTGAAGTGTGGTAAACGAACATAGTCCATTTACTGAACGTAGAAATTTGCATTAAGCTTAATTTAAAACAAAAAGTGTTGTTGAATATTGTAAAGAATAAATGAAAACTCAGTAGAAGCACAGAACAAATAATAGTACGTAAAGGCCGTATCTTACACGTCTGTAGACTGTAAGTTGCACGCCCTAAGTTAGAAGAAAATGAAAAATTTATAAAATACAAATTGTTGATTGTTGGGTGGTGTATTCTTATGTCACAGACAGTGAAGTTACAGCAACAAACCTGCTTTTATTATTTCATACCTTCAAATATTACTGGGCAATGTAGTTTGCTGTAAATGTCTGTATAAGTTTCATTGAAAATTTTCACGCTCCTTCGATATTTTGTATTTTTGATATAAATGTAATGTGATTATATAAAGAACTGTGTTAAAAAACCAAAACAATTGTGTGTTCCTAGTATAAAACGAATTTTACATAATTAAGATAATAGTATTGGTTGGGCAGAATTATATCAAGTTATATCATTATTACACAGGCATATTGCTTTTTTGGTTATAAAATATTTACAAAATGGTGTCGGTCTATAGCAGCCCGGTGAGCCTTTAAAAAGATAATTAATAGCGCCAGCAGTATAAATACCCACACGTGAACAATTATTAAGCCAGAAGCTAGAAAGAAGATTTTTGATGAATCACTGCAGTGCCATTGTCTATAGTTCTATATGGATTCACTGGTATACTAGTAGTAGACTTAAAGTAGACTGAAATAGTAACATTACTTGAACGCTACGCTAAAAAAATATATGATCAACAAAACATATGCATATTGCTTACAATATGGCCGACATATGGTTTTACGAATACAGCAAAATGAATGTATATATACAGCTTTACGCATTACAATATCTCACGCGAACAACAGAATTCAGTCGATCTTTAAGCAAACATTACACTAATTAATGTTTATGCTGTTCATCAGTACTAGGCTTTTACTACTTATAAGTGCTATTAACAGCTCAAAGATGTATCACAGATTTACAGTAGATTGTAATGGTACAAGTTTATGCTATTAAGAAGCATTAGGCATTATCTTACAATTAAAAAATTCTAGATTTTTTAATTGTAAGATAATGCCTAATGATTGTAGATCCTAAGGCACTAAAAACAGCTAAAAGGTGTGTTCTCTATACAGCTTTTAGCTGCATTCATGCTTTCAATTACGTTGCATTGTAATAGTTCATGTTATGCTATTAAACAGCATTACGCCTTTATTTACTACTTAAAATGCTATTGTAGATCCAAATGCACAAAAATCAGCTGACAGTTGTGTGGCTGCGTTGTGGTTTGCTGCACTAAAACTAAAGACTTTACAAAAGCATTTTAATATGCCATTATCTAACCGTTATACAGTCTAAAGCATCATATTGGTTTTGAAATGCCAATATAAAGTGTCAAGATGCTCGGTGAACTTATATAAGAGTTTATACGGGCCGTAAGATCTACATAAGTTACCATTTGTTAGTTAAAATGCTTTCTGTATTACTTGGGAGATACCGTAATTTTTACCGATAAACATGATATGCCAACCTTAAATCTTATCTCCATCTTCTTTAAAGAGATATGGATTGAATGTGAGAAAACATAATTTTTTTAAAATTGGCTATAAATTTTTCTGCTGAATAAAGTCCTCCCCCATGGATTACTTCTGGGAGGATATTTGCCAGTCATATATTACCACGCTTGACAGGCAGGCTGACAACTGTAGTTTTTTTTAAAATTGAATTTGCTATCAGGGAGATGCTGCTGCCGTCACCTGTTTCATTCCGTGTGTGAAATCTTACAGCACCTACAGGAGTAAATGGAGTAGTGGATTATCTTACGCCACCACTATTTGTATACATTTTATATATATTTGATTTCACACACGTACGCACGCACGCACGCACGTTCGCACGGACGCACATACACACGGCGCGCACGCACACAGATTTATAAGAAACACGTTTCTGATTTTTTTTTGATTTGTTTTTTTTTATTCAACGAAAGCTTGTTAAATATAGGAAGGAAGTAGCTCCTGTTACTCAGGTTAATATTTTACAGAAACTAGGGTCACATTGATATGTATACATTGTCGTATACAATATACGGGAAAATCAGCCACGTAAGCAAGTTAATGCCTGCGGTTTGGCAATCTTTTCTCCTCAATCGAAAAACTTTTTTTTTAAATTACCTAATCATAAAACTTTTAAATTAGCAATTGACGTGTCTACGTAATGTAGAAGGAACTGGAAAAAAAAACAACTGATGTGTCTGCGTATGTATTAGTCGATTTCGTAATCGTTTTCATTATCCCATACAAGTCCACAGCTGGACATAAGTCTCTTGTATCGTAGAGAGCATTTGCTTAGGATTTGCCTTTATGGTGAGACGTCTCTCACCTTTAATACTGTCCAAGTGTTTTCGCAAGTTGTAAAGGAGATGGTTATATCTCTATCTATCAGTATGTCCCATAGTGGCTTCAACAACAGTGCAGCGGCCATAACACACACCACATACATTCATCTTTTTGTCTCTTATAAATATAAACATAATGTCCCAATAGAAGAACCTGGCTTCTTGACATAACACACATGGTGGAAGGGTACTCGGCCAAAACAACCAGGGTCTGCGATTCACTTCTCATAGGTCACTTCAAACACCTTCTCTAAATACACAACCACATACATTTCATCTTTTTTATTTCTATATATATAATTCTTCTGTCCGTGTGTATGTAACTGAACTGCTCCTAAACGGCTGGACTGATTTTAATAAAATTTTGTGTGTGTATTGTTTAAGTTGATTCGAGTATGGTTCAGATTCACATTTGGACCCGGTAGGTGGCGCTGCAATGCTCTGGGTTCTAGTTTTTTTTTTCGGAGCAGGACAACGTATGCCGGGCCCACCAGTTATTTTTTTAATAAAAATGAAGTGATAAACGAAATCACAGTCCACACGATACGTTTAGTCGGTGATGTTGCTACTTCAGTCCATACCTGCAGCCAAGAAAGCTACAGACGCTTTGCCACCCCTGAGGACTTGATGTGTTACCTCACAGCCTATAATAATACTGGCTTCTATAGAGGAGGCCGGGTATAGACCCAGACCGGGATACAGCAGCTGCCGCCGATACGGCAGAAATTTATGAGAATGTGGTAGCTACCCAGACGGAATAGTCAAAAAGAGTCCTGCCACCTTGTTAATAATTATTATATTTTATATAGTAATAAAAATTAAGTCGTCGGCTCCGTAGCGCAGTGGCTTAGCAATGATTCGCAGCGCTGAAGGCCGCGGGTTCGAATCTCGCACGGATCAAGTACTTGTATAGCCTACAAATAATTGTTCCGGGTCTGGATGTTTGTGCTTGTGAAATTTATGTATGTAACTGCGTCCATGATACAGTAGAAAATCCTTCTGTGGAGATAATTTTTTTTTATATAAAGAATTGTGTACGTTTTCACAGCGCTTTATTCAATTATTTCAGGGAAGCAACAAAGCAGCGAGGCATAAGGCTGGTCCGCTTGGACACATCCAGCGCCTACTCCGCCATGTCCGCTGAGAGACTTGGCTACACTTGCGTTTACACAGCTCCATATAAAGACATTAAAATGGACGATCAGCCTATCATAGTTCCGGACCCTCCACACGAGCATGATTGTGTTTACATCAAGAAATTATTTGACTAGATGTTTTAATACTTATGAGTATCGTGAGCGTGATCACTAAAACATATATACTTTATAAATGAATATACTAAAAATGAACATAGTTATAGTCATTAAATTATTTAATCGTTTTATTAATATAAAATATACAATTCCTAATTACAATAAACTTTCTTTATTAAAACCTTACCTATTAAAAAGTAACCAGCAATAAACAAGGAGAAATGCCCAAGGTACCATTTCGCTAAGGGATTAATACCTTCTCTTATAACTACCTTCTCTATGCTTATACGGACATGCTTCGAGCGCCATCAAATAGGCCGCGGATGGCCTACGATGTTTTCCTTCAACACTGAGCATGTGGTAAAATGCAATGAACAATTTTATTAGGGCAGGGATCGAATCGTACGATCGAATTGCTCGCGTTCTGTACCATGAAATAACAACGTAAAATATCCAAGGAATTTTTATAACCACCAATACAAAATGCTTTCTGTTTAAGAGCTTCTTTACGTTAGATTGAACCCAAATTACCCAAAATAAATCAATACGTCTGAACCGCCAGTAAACGTAGTGACTATGTAACTGTGTGATATACGAGGTAAGCTCAGAAAATAATAAATAATAAGTATAATCGCTGCAGCGTGGCTCTACCACGTCAAAACGAAGTAAGGTTCAATCGTCCCAGTGGAGGCATTCTGGCTCGCCAAGACCGAAAAGGGTTCGACAAGTGCGGTACAACTTGAAGGTTATGTTCACTCTGTTCTTCAATTTTGGTGGCATGTTTCATACATTTCGATTTTAAGGGGAAATATAATGTCAAATGGCTTAGCAAGATCCTTCGTTATGCCGAAAATATTGCAGCATTAATTTTGAAATAAATATATGGTAAAGTTGAGGATTAATTTTAATGATTATGTTAGACGAAAACACGATTTCGTAAAATTTTCTCGATAGAAAAAAAATCCAAAGTTACCTCCAAAATAAACAATAAACCGCTGTTATTCATAAAATACTTTAAATAAGTTCATGAAACTTTGCATACTAACTGAACTAACTATAAAGCAGTGCTTATGTTATTTACTTTTTTTAAAATACCATTATTTTCACCGTAAAAAGAAATTACCTAAACTATCGACGTCTTGAGCTTGATTCATGTCGCCCGTTAGTATCGCTTAGGCTTTTGAAGGGAGAAGTTGTGTCGCTTACGATCAGAATATACATTAAGCAATAGTACGACGTAAAATTAAAATGGGAAATAACCGTGATAAAAATAAGAAGCGGCTGGCTTGGCGTTAAGAAACAGGCATAAATATGATAAACCTAATGAAATAAGTGTCTAACGACCTTTCTACTTACAGTATTAGTGATTACAAACATATCGGTACATAGCATACGACGCGCGGGGAAGTGGGGGCGAAATTAGAATTTGAGCTGACTTACTCTATCCTCTTAAGGATATTACCTACCTAACTACAAGTTCAACGACGTTTGCGTGAAGCAATCCGAAAAATACGCCCGGATTTGCGGAAAAACAATACATGGTTTTTGCACCACGGTAATGCACCTGGTCACACTTCATTGCGTGTTCATCAGTTTTTGGTCAAAAATAATACTGTAGCAATGCCGCAGCCTCCATATTCGCCAAACATCGTTCCGTGTGACTTTTTCTTATTTCCAAAAATAAAGAGAACCTTATAGGGCCGTCGTTTAACAAGCATGGATGACATTAAAAGCGCATCGCTGAAAGAGCTAAAGGTTATCCCAAGGATCGAGTTTGAAAAGTGTTTCGAGGATTGGAAGAAGCGCAGGCACAATATCAAAATATGCATAATATCACATGCGGACTATTTTGAAACAAGGTGAAATACCCAAGGTACCATGTATAAGCCTATGCGCAGCGATGTTTCGAAAACTAGGGTTTCCATAAATTATGTAACAACTCTTGAAGAAATAAAGTCCAAGCTTATAAAAATACTAGACATGTGTCTAATATTTTTCGTATACCAGCCAGTGTCGGGTGATGTATGACCCAACACTGGCTGCTGATGCTTTGCTTAGTACGATCTCAGCAGGTCACTCCATCAAGTCAGGAGGTAAGTTTTCGTCATAATTTACCAAAACGAGCCCATACTCGTCACACCTAATTATACTCGTCGAGGAGTTACTGTAGTAATCATTGAAGTACACCTTCAGGTCATTCCATCAAGCCCGGAGGTAAGGTCTCATCCTAACCAACAAAACGAACCCAAACTTGGCACACCTATATTTTATAGGTACTCGTCGAGGAGTTCCATTAGCAGTCACCGAAGTACATCTTCAGGTCATCCACCATCAAGTCCGGAGGTCAGGTCATAACTAGTAAAAGCAGCCCAAAGTCCACAGCCCACATCTCTCTAAGTAGAGGGCTTTCGGTGCCTAGCAGTCTCTGGAGTACATAGGTACATGTATCTGAGTATTATTAAGTGAAATAAGAAATATTTTTGTAGGCAAAGGAAATAAGAAAAAAATCCAACTTTCAAAGTATAAAAATGATTTCACTTGACTACGATTCTCGCCGCTAATCATGCGTACGCTTGTGTGTGTGACCCGTGTCAATGTTTGTGATTCTGTAATCTGTACCTATCAATTTTGCAAATACGTCCAAGCTACCGCTGAACACCTTGCCCGGCGGGAGATCTCCCAATTTTGCTTTCACAGCCAAAGATATAATTTAATTTATCATTTTTTTACTAACATAGTATAAGTCAATTATTAGCAATTGTCCTTTATCGGAAATGAACATTATTATTATTATAAATTCTAACTTTAACTACGATGTTTCACAACTGCTGGGCGTCTCATAACTGCCAACTTTTTTTAATGGTAATTATTATGAAAACGCTGCTGTTAATCTCTTGCTTTATTTTCCGATGTTTCCTACCACGCTCTACGCTCTACGCTCTACGCCTTTCCGACTTATTTTCCGATGTTTCCTACCACGCTCTACGCTCTACGCTCTACGCCTTTCCGACACTCACGGGTCCATATGGTGTAGTGGATATTCTAACACCGCCACTTCGGTCCAGATAGACTTACAAGTAATAAAATAAATTGCTTTATATTAATTAGCGTTTATTTTTTATACGTCAGTAAATAGGCGTTGTTTTGCATGCTTCAATTGATTAAATTTCGTATTTTAATAGTACACATACAAACATTTTACGCTGTTACGATAAAATTCCACTGTTTAATATAAATAAGACGTTATTTTCTTCGCGATCTCGCTATAAGTTATGTCGTTGTGTGTGGTGCAATATCCGCAATCGGACCCGCTGTCCTTTAAATTTTTGCAACGTCTGCAAGTTTGCAGCGATTTCCTGCAGATCATAAAATAAGTTTTGCGTAAATTATTCTTACAAGGAAAATTGTACTTTAAATGTTAAACTGTTGGGTATAGGCCACTTCTCATTATCAGTCCACCGCAAAGAGTAAATTCACTAAGTTTTAGTCTATCGCGCTGCTCTACTAGCGTGCCAAAAATGACAAATATAGAGCCTATGTGTAGTAGTGGACTTTTGACGGGATCTGCAATGAATGATTAGATTATATTAGGTGTTGAACCAAAGTTTTGAATAGTAAAAGATTTTGATATGCATTTTGTATTTAATTAAAAAGAATAGTTAAGGCGCTCGTTTTTTTTGTTGTGGTTGTGGTACGTGTGGGTAGACCTTAAGGTCGGCAAACGCCAAAAACAGAAGGTTGTTAAATAGTAGACAACCGGGAAAGACAACTGCAGAACGTACCATAACTATGGAAAATTAACGAAATAAAAATCCCATAATCCCCTTTTCCTAGTCCACTGGACCTAGTATTAATTCAAAAACAATAAAAGAAAGATTGTTCGTAAATTTTTATATTATTTTTGTTCCTTTTGCTGGATGTTTAATTATTATTAAAAAGAAAAATGATTTAATAGTTCTTGTACTGGCTGAATAAATAATCAAACTAATTATCATCTGTAATATAATGAGTGACGTACGCGTACCGTTATACTAGCTAGGCTCATTTGCAGATGCAGCATCAAAAATATTGACGCGCAAAGGGTGATTTTCTGGAATATTTATAAATCACCTTTTATCTTTTAAACCACGCAATTTGGGTATAGGACTTTTTTTGAACAGTTCTTCCATGGTCTACAACCCCCTTTCGTTTGATCGTTACGTTCTGGGACACCTTGTTATATAATTTCATAGTAACTTATTATCGACGGGCATCTCTATCTTTTAAGAATTCGTTTGCTATATCCCATATTACGAAACGATTACTCTATCTGTTTGAAAAGTTCCATCACAATAAAAAATAGATATGCTCGTCGATAGTAAATTTATAAATAATTCATTACGTCAACAGGACTGTACACGAGCAGTCGTATCATACTAGCGGCGTGCAGCAGGGTATCCCGCAGCGGGTGCGACAATCGTATGCGACATAGCCCGCTGTGTATTTTTTTTATAGGATAGGGTGACAAACGAGCACACAGTCCACCAGATGGTAAGTGGTTGCTGTGACCCATAGACATCTACATCAATCCTCGATTACGAATCAAAATGCAGATGCGTTGTCATCCGTGAGAACTAAGTAACTGTGTACGTATACGCGACGGAATCGCGCTTAACGCAGCGGACAAGTTTTTAAGATATTTAGTTTATATATATAGGTAAATTATATCGTATAAAAATATTTTCTTTATTGTCATTTTTCAAGAAGAAAACATAGGCATACGTTTGTTTACTCTAAGGTAACGAAAAAAGTAGAATGACTAAAAGTTGTTAGATATGATTATATGAATTTAGTTTTAAGAATTAATTCAGAGTATTTTCCATTTAGCAGGATATAAAAAATTTACACTGTCCACTTGTACTATGAAACCATTGCGACTAAACCTGTGTAGCGGCGGTATATGGATATTCACCACACCAGGGGTGGCGAACCTTTATGTATCAACGTGCCATTTTCCTGAAGAAATGTTTAATGATCTC